ATCGGTGCCTCTTCTTTACCCAGGTGACCAAGGACATGGAGCAGGAAGGCACCAGCTCGGTGAGGACATGAATTCACTATAGGTCTCCTCTCCTCACATTAAGAGGCCAGCCAGTCACATCAGAAAAGGAGCATCTCTCCCTCTATTTTTCAGTTTATTTGCTCATTTCTTACCTGGCAACCTATTTTTTCCAGGCTGTTTCCCAACCAGCCTCTGCAGCTAGAACAAAACTATTTCGTGTTGTTTGTTTCATGTTTGTCCGTTGATAGTTGAACCTCTCCTTCTATTAGGCAACTGCTCTGATGTGAAGCAAAGGCTTCTGCACCTCAAGACATGAGCAACAGCACCTCCATTGGGATGGGCTATCGGGTATGTCCCTGCTCCACAGGCACAGCTGGTGCCCCCCAACAGAGGGGATAAAAAACCTGAGAAATGAGTGAGCAAGGAAGTTGGTTGGGGAAACCTGAAAGGAGGGATGGCATTGTGGCACCAAAATGTCTCCCAATGGCTCTGAAAGGATTTAACTATGTCCTTGATTAAAGCTGCTTGCAGGGATGATCTTTGTCTCAAGTATAAAGCAGAATAGGCCTCTTGCTAGACTTATACAATGCAGCCTATGGATTCAGAAATTTTGTCAGACGGACAAAATAGCAAGCCTTTTCTACAAGCAATGGAAAATATACACAATCTTCAGACAGGTTTTCTGGCTTCACCCATGAAGACTCTTGCTTCATTGACTAAAGCTGCTTTTAATCTTAAAGCAAATTAGCAAAGCATAAACATGTGCTCCAGACAACAAGCACTTCTGTGCTCCAAACACATCAGTCTTACTGAGTAGCAGTGCATGCAAAGGTTGTAGTCAAGCCAAGGAAATCCTCTTGCCTTTGATTTGTTCTGTGACCTTAATTAAGCCACCAGCATGTTTAGTTTTTATAATCTAAAAGAACGGGTGTATGACACTAGTCTCTCTCACTGCATTCTCATGTAATGTAGTTAGCAATGCCTATTGCAAGAGCAGCCCTTGACAAAAGCTTCTAGACGGGGGTTGGGTGATGTTATTATCTTTCTTTTTATCCAGAATTCCACTGATATCTGTGCAACGTGTTATTAAACAATGTTTTTTGTAAATCACGTTGCTGGGGATTGTTACAAAAAAAAGGATTCTTGCTTGATGAACAAACAAGACATGAAATCAAATACCTTTGTGTCTAAGCAACCTTAAGGTGATGAATAAAACAGAATTATAGAAAATGCAGCTGGAGGGAAGTTCGAGGGTCAGTCAGCTATCTCTCTAGTCTAATAGCTATTTTTAAGGCCTTCACAGATGGAAGTTTCACTGACTCAATCGATCGATATCTATGGTACATTTTTAAGTCAATTTTTTAAATTTATCAGCCTGAATTCTGTGCTGTAGTTTTGGTTCACTGATTTTTGGTCAGTCTGCAGTGGATCTGAAGAAGAGGTTATCTCTTCCCTTTTTTACATCAGCCTTTTTGTGTCTTCAAGGCTATGTTCATATTTTCTTGAACTCTGCTTTTTGCTAGATTAAGCAACTTCATTCAGTCTTTTCTCCTGGCTGTATCCTCTACACTGGTGTCAGCTCATTACTCTGTGTGTTTCCTGAAGCACGGCACCCAGGAGTGAACATCGTACAGTACAGTGGAAGGATTAGAGCAGAGGCACATGAGAATAGCATTGATCTCATGATGGTGGTTGTGGCTCTCATGGTAGGGTGACATTATTAAACCATGTTCCACTTGTGGGGCACTTTATGTGCTGCATGTGGGGCAGGGGGATGTTTTGAAGGCTTACACCCACTGCACTGTAGAGTCCTGCATTTCTCCTTTGTTGAACAACGTCTTGTTTTTTTTCCAGTGCATTTTTCCAAGTCATCAAGATCATTTTGCATTCTAATCCCAGCCTCCATGAAGGCCTTTATCACGGTGGGCATCCCATTAATAACCACCGAAGTTTTCATTCTGCAAGCTAGCACAGACTGAGAGAGGTTGCAGTGATTTAAGTTGCCTATTGTTATAGCTCCTTAGTCCCCAAGAACAAGATCTTTTTCTCTCTGAATGGCAGTTACCACAAATAGATTAATAGAAACTTCAGCTTTATTCTTTTGTCTATGGCATTTCAAACTCACCTCTCCTATATTCAGCTTTCAACCTTTTAGGTTATCTTTGTAGTCTGGTTTAATTGTATATTTCCACAGAACCTTAGCCTAAAATTGATTAACTGTTAAGCATTGCTTTTTAACTTGGCGGGAGAGGATTTAAACTTACCGTATGTGCTGCACCCCTATGGTGGGGAAACACCCCTCTAACACAGTCTCTGTTGCTCCATAGCCATTTCTTCTGTGGGAATTGTAAGAAGGTTTGAGTGTCAGATCCTTGTTCTGTTTGTACCCATATCAGTGTAATATAGGAATACAGAATTTCTTTCAAGAAAATGCTCTCCTGATTTTATACCAGAGGAAATGGGAACAAGTCTTGCCCCTCAATTTTCTTCATGCGTGAAAGGTCTTTTCTGAAATGGAGAAGACAAACCAAGCCCTGAGGAGAATCCATAGATTTCAAGGATGAAAGTGATGTGAAATCTTACCTTTTTAAATTTTAATTACCTTCTAAAAAGACACTTCTTTCTAGTTCCTGTACAAAGCAAAGCAACCCCACAAAAATAGTTCCACCATGTCTCTGCCACACATTTTGAAGGGAATTTGTTTCCAAGAAACTCAAACACCCAAAAAAGGTGGAGGTTTTTGTATCTAAAGCTAAGCATTCAGCCCACACAAGTTGTCTTATCTAGGTCACTCTATAATCCATGGAGACAGGCCATCCCAAGGTAGGTGAGATGAATGGTGACTCATCTCTGAGACGCTGCTATTATCTAGACCACACTATGACAATTTAGAGTAGTTGCCTCTCTTTAGAGCTTCAAAGTTAGGTGAGATGACCCAAATTGTAGATTATGCTGGCGAAAGTTATCAGGCTGGGAAAAGTGGAACCATCTAAACATAGACTTCGTTGTATGCTTAAGCTCATCCCTGGGCTCAGGCACAGAGCGCAGTCTCAGATTGCTCACGGGCCAGCCCTCGCCCTTCTGGCATGGCCATGCAGCCCACAGGGAAGCGTGGCTCCCTGGCTGGAGCGAAGCTGGGGCTGGCTCCTGCAAGTGGCTCCCCAGTAGAGGAGGGACCACGGCTGCTGGCTGGGAGAGGGCTAAGGTCTGAGGAGGCACTAAAGAGCAAGAAGCTCTTTGTCCCTGCTCCTTTCCTGTCATTTCACCTTCCTTTCCCACGCTCTCAGCTGAGCTGTTTTCTCTTTGCATGGGGCAGGACCCCCTCGTTTCTGCTCACCTATGACACAGTCATGGGTTAGTTGTTGCAAAATGCTTTTATTGAGTTCTCTCCCCTCCTTCTGCTCTGTCATCAGCCCAGTCAGGTAGGCATGGGTCTCACTGACAGCCTCCTTCCCCCCATTTGCTCAGGTCAGGGCCTTGGGGTCACTTCTGTAGGGCTAGCAACTGGGATCCCTCTTCAGCTGCAGCCCTTACCTGTCTCCTCCATTTTCCACTAGCTGCCACAGAATGGGTTTAGTGTCAGTAATGGGAAGATCCAAAACGGCTGTGTTGACATAACCCAAAACTCATCCCTGTTTCTAGGATGTGAATGCAGGTGACCAGTGCATCTGAAGTATTGGAAACCCGCAAGAAGGCAGAGCTGGGGGCTGAAGGCTTTTATGTATTTCAGTTGTATGGACTGTGTCCTCCTGAAACATCCTCAGGAGCAGTGGGGTCTGGGAGAGGGGTCCTTTATGGAAATTGGGTTTACCTTTATAACTACCCATTCTGCTGAGCCATATATGCTTTTTTTCCTCTCTTTGACTCTAATAATAATGTGTGTATTATTGCTGCTGGATAAGTTAGGATTTTTTTCTTCTGAGCTCCCCTGCTTTACACCCTTCAAACCTAGCTGTTACCATGAAAAATCCCCTCTCTTTGCAAAAGAGCAGCAGAACCATCTTCCTCCCTGCCACTGCATTTAGCTTTACACAGGACAGGTTTTAATGAGAATTTTGCAGGAATGCAGAATATATTCTCCCAACTGACTGCATGCTCACCAGACTTGGTGCTTCTCAGGCATCCGAGCTGGCTGACTGCTTTGGAGAAAACATAAACTTCACACTCTCACATGGCCAGGGGAAACCTATAGAGTGGCCACTGAAAAATAACTATCCTGCATCTAGAGAGGACCAAATGGGGTTTGGTAGGCCAAAAGGGACAGAGAAGGTTGGATGTGCACTCACAAAACAAGCAAACGTGGGTAGGTACACCCTTGTTCTTGCAGCCAGAGGATCCTGATGCTTTGAGAGTGTGAATAACTTTTTTTTTTTTTTTCTTACTTTCTTTTCTCTGTACACACTACCGCTAGGGGACGTTTTGTCATCACGTATCGCTTGCTACACAATTTTCCTTATAGTGGGTCATGCTTTCTTTTCAATCTTGGTGCGCATCTAGATCATGGAGTGGATGTCTGAATTTCGTAGGGCTTGTGGATGACCCAGTCTCACTGGAGCTGGGATGGAGAGAAGTATTTATTTCCCCCATTTCTCGAAGGGAGTCCATCTATCAATATTCCTTACAAAATGAGGCAGCTGGTTATTTCACAGCTTGCTGGAGCAACACAAGAAAGCTGAGGGCTGCCTCTCATTTTAGTGTTAAGTGCTGAACACAGACACTGCTAGTGGTTTTGTGAAGACAGAAGTAATATACAGCCATTGCAAATCAAACTGGAATGAACATCACTAGCAGTGATGCGTGTTAAGGATTTTCTGAAATAATATCTTTCAGACTAAATAATTAGAAATCAATTGGCAAAACTCACGTTTCACTCCTTTTTTCCATTCTCATCTCATTTGTCATAGGATAACTGACTGGTTTAACCCAAGTCACTACCCACCCACCTACCAGTACACTTTTTTTCCTTCTCTCCAATGCAGACAGAGCAGCTGGTGACTCTTTGGATTCTCTTTATTGTCACAATTTCTGGAAATGCCATCGTGCTCTTCTCTACCTGGAGGAGGAAGCGGAAATCTCGAATGACCTTCTTCGTTACACAGTTGGCAATCACAGGTAGTGTGTGAGAGGAGAAAGGGCACCTGAACTGTACAAGAATCAGTATTAAAGTGACAAATAAGAAACTGTAAGTTGAGTGGTGAAGAATTCAGTTGCCACCTAACATCCAGCTGCAGCTTGCCATAAGACAGATGGATGGCTGCTTATTTTAGGGCTCAGTCTGCCTCTGATCTAAAAAGATGTTGCTAGATGTAGTAGTGTTGGTGTCAGATGCAACAGCTGCAACTCATTGATTTCATTGAATCTTATCTTCCAGTTTGAATTTGCATTCACATTTCCCAGAAGTTATGTCCCCAGCTGTTGTCATGGAACTGTTTAGATTAAACTAGTTTAAGATGAATCTCTTGTGTTTTTCTACTAAAATACATTCTAAAGTACTTCATAACAGTATTACTCTATCAGTTATGCTCTTGCATTGAAGAGTGAAAATAACTTCATGTTGTCTGGTTTAACCAAGTAAGGGAAATATAAAAATGTAAATGTGGAGAATAATACATTTAGTTATTTTTTTTGAATGGAAAAAAAGATGCCGATCCCAGAACTTTGTAGTTTTTAGACAAAATGGAAAATGTACAGAAAGCTGGTTTGTAAAAATGTCAATATCTCAGCAACTAGGAATAGAAACAAGAGCATAAGCAGCACATTGTTCCCCTGTGGCTTTGAATGGACTGAATTTGTGGGGTTTTAAGTTTCCCAAGGGAAAATATGTGCTGTTTCTATAACAGTGTCCTGCTACTAATCCCTGCTTACAAGACAGCTGTGTTGTATTCTCTGTGTATATAGGATATATTTATATGCTTTCTGTTGCTTTTTTTTTTTTTTTTTTTTTTTGTAAGATATGGTAAGAATTAGAGCACTTTTCCACTGAAGACCTCTCTAATATGTGATTTCTCAGCAATACTGCAACCTCCTTTGATGTCTGTTGTATCTCTGTTCAAACTGGAAAAGCAAAGGACTACACTCCCCAATTTTCAACAGGCATTCTTTGTAGGTAAATGAACTCCTGCTCATGGTCTCAGCCATGTCTGCCCAGGAGCTTGTCCCATTTGAAGAACTACTCTCAACTGAAACAGTTAGACCAAGGTGTACAAAGTGATGCAAAAAGACTGTCCCATAACTACAGGTGATGTAAGAATTATCGCAAGGTGAGGAGGTGAAGGTTTTCAGTGACTCCTCTTTTGAAGTGCTGACAGCTGGTTTTCCTATTTGCCTGTGAGTCATCTGTAATAAATGGTTTCGCTTCTTATCTTGGTCGTGACTTTCATGTCGCTTCCTTTGTGTACCAGCAGTATTTTCCATCAGGTAAAGCATGTTGATGCAGCCTCACAGCTCAGTTTGGAAGCATCAATCACAGATCAAGCATTCACAGGTTTCACAGTTTTCAAAGGAGTTGCAAAATAGCCAGTCTCTGCTCAAAGATCTCCCAATCCTTGATGAATATACGGGAGATGATAAAAAATAGTCAACCAAGCAATAATATGGGAAAGAGTGCAGCTGAAGCCCCAGATGCACACCATCCATTTTCTACCTACTGACATCAGGGAGCAGAGTACGAAGGACAACTATCATGAGAAGGGCTTTGGAAGAGAAGAGGGTGGCAAATGGCCTGCTGCTGGAACAAAGACACAGATAATACATACACGGGTAATAGAAGATGGGTCTTAATAGGAAGAGCTCAACTAAACAGCAAAGGGTCCTGTCCTAGTAAGAAAACAAATTTATTTACTTCAGTAGAGAAAGAACCAGCATGGTTGTCCAGGTGAAAGGAATAAAGCAAGAAGCGAACAGAAGTGTCTGAACCAGGATAGTTCAGGAGAAGGCCAGCCCACATGAAGTATACTAGGAGTATGCTACTGCTATTGCTGCACTAGGTTAGGACCTGGGTGGGACGTTTGCCATTTTGGACCCATAGGAAAGGGTAACTTTTTGGATTAGAATGGAGGTGGATAGAGAGCTATTCACTAGGGGTTTGAATGCCATCTACAAAAAGGGAGGCGAAGACATTGCAAGGGCAGTTTTGAGGCAGCTGTAATAATTAGTGTCAAAGACAACAAGGCCAATATTCCATTAGACGTGGGCAGCAAATACTGCTATAGAGTTGATGCTTCAATATTGACCGCAGTCCACATATTCCACTTGCTGATTCTTATGACATGCCCTTCCCTAAAATTATCCCTGATGTTTAAAATCAGACCTTCAAAGTGCCTGAGTTCAATTCCGTTTCATATTATAGAAATTCACATAGAAAATTCACTTGACATTCACATCTGCAATGTTTAAAGAAGTAACACCAGCTTGAACAGCAAGGCTCCTTTCAAGCAATGTTGACTTCTTTTTTGTGATGCAGGAATGAGAACTCTAATTTATCTTCCTGCACCAAGAGTTTCTGTCAGTATTTTGGCACAAAGAAATGACTTAATTCCTGAAATGGAGCCATTTCACTTTCTTATCTTCAAAAATATTAATAAGAACAAAGCAATCTGGCAACAGTCATCATCCTTTCACAACAAGTTATGAGGTAGACACAGAACATTATGAAAGCACTGGCTTGTCACATTGCTTTGACATGCCAAGCATATTTAAATCCTAACAACTAAAGCCTAATATCCTGGTAAACAGTTTCTGCTTAGTCAATATTACTACTTCCATCTATTTTGAGATTCTTAAAATATTTATTATTTCTGCCCCAGTAATAGAGAGAAGAATAATGGCTATAGCTTTATCAAGGCACGCATTTCAAAGCCATTTAAAAACTTTTTGTCTATTGATCTGTGGCTCAATAGTTGAATAGTGTCCTCAATTCTCACGTCTTCCCACTAATGTAGTACCAAAATGAAATGAAAATATAGCCTTCATGTTAGAATAAGCAAGGTATTCAAAGCAAATTGTGCATAATACATGAATAGGAAATAAGCACTGTTGTTCTCCTTGACTGGTTGCCAAGCCAGATGCAGAAGAGAACTAACTAACTGATTGAGGATTCTTTCAACACCACCAGAATTCAGTGGTTCAACCCACTCGGCAAGTTCAGAGATAAGACTCTTACTGATCCCTTACTACACCAGAATTCAATGCTGTGCTCAAGGCTGCAAGGATCTGTAGGAATGTGAATAATCCCTCCAACTTCAGTGTGCTTAAAGATGATGCTGAAGCCTAGATTCAGAATATTTCATATTGAATATATGCCTATACAATGCCTGTGTCAGTACTGCATTTCAGTCTGTGTTTAACTCTCAGCTCATGCATAAATCTCTTTGAAATTATCCAGGAATTAAACACTAGGAAATCAGCTAAGAGTTAACAGCTGAGTTGAACAATAGTACTAATCACTCAGCATCAGCTAATTTAACAAAGAGGAATATTGCCATGTTTGCCTTGTGTTCAGTTTGCTCTCAGGCATATTCCTTTTTCTGTAAAAATGTTTTCCTTAGAAACAATACTGAAACTATATCTAGGTTTCCTACAGATTTTTATCTCCAAGGGCGATTTAGTTTCTCAGAAAGTGTAAGCTCTGAAGATTACCCTGTAAGGAGGGTATTTCTAAACACTTTTTCCCAAATAGATTTCTTCTGAGTTTATCACAAGTTATGCTCATGGTGTAGCTATCTCTCCTGGCAGGAAACCTCGCACATCTACCCATGCCTGATGCCATTTCATATAACTAGCAGAGTCTTAGTGTCTTTAAGGTCTTTGCCTCTGACTGAATTCACCAAGTGGTTCAAGAACAAAGAGTGGGGTCTGACAGACAGGTGAGTTCACAGGCACTGTATCATGCTGGAATTTTTCAAGTGAAATATAGTTGTTTTCAGAAAATATCGTATGTCAACACATTTATATCCATTTAGATGAATTTACCCAGCTGTACCAAATGAAGTCTACTTGACTCTACTCTCAAAATATAAAAGTGACAGACATATATAAGGAAAGTTTATTTGAGTAGCCTTGGACAAGGAATGTCATTTATTGACTAAACCATTCAATAAAAACTGTTAGCATTTGACCAATTCTAAAGCCAATCAAAGAATACATTAAAAATATCTGCTAAAAATTCTTTTCCTTCTCAGTTTTCCTCATCCAATTCCAACTACCAGTGGCAGAGGAACATATTTAAGTTCCTTTTAATGGCTGCAGAGTTTATTGAGGTTTTTTCTCCCAAATTAACATCTGGAAAGTTGGAGCTGGAAATGTGATAACCATTAGAAATTCTGTGAGTTTTTCTATTCCAACATTTAGCAGATATCAGTATCTTGAGAACAGTGTTAGATTTTGTTCATTATAATGGATAAAAGTACAAGTAAGCACTTTACTGCATGCCCAATTTTAAGCTGCAAGCTGATAGACTTGATTAGAAATACTTGCTCACTTAGGTATTGCTGTGGCTGTAATGAAGAGAGAAAATAAAAAGAGTATCGGTTAACTTCTGTGATAGCTCACATATAAAAAAAAAACCAAAGACAACCTGTAAAAGTATTTAGCTACAGTATATGTTGTGATATAAATACCAAACCCTAAAGGATGAGTTGAGAACGACATTAAAAAGACAAGGAGTTGTTTTTAAAAGTTTCTCTTTATATTGCTGCCACCTTCTTCAGTTGCTCCCAGAAAGCTTGGTCCTTAAGCAACTGCACTCATTTTATTTAGTGTTTAGCAAAAAGCCAGTATGCTGGAAACTTGCTACAAGGGGGTTATGTGAATAAATAGGTGGACTTGGACCCTGGTAAAGCAAGGAGTGTTTATTTTCTGTGCTGCTTCTGTCCAGAGAGAGCATGACTGTGGGACTAAAACCAACTGGGCTCAGCCACTGACTTCTGGGATGGCTTTGGTTGAAATGACTGAAGGCAGAATCTGCCAACTAACCTGCTAGTTAGATGCACTAAATAGGTGCATCTGACTCTACTACTACAATGGCTAAAAATTAAAATCACATTAGAAGTTGTCTTTCCATTCTTCCTTTTTTTTCCTAGACCAAAACCACCATGGCACTAGCTGCTTTAATG